AGGCTATGGTTGATTATGCGACTATCTATTGATTATTCGCGTCGCTGCTAGCTTCTGCCAGAAGCGCGTCTTCGCGGAACAGGTGCAAAATATACTACAGGGGGAAGGAGAAAATCTGGAAGCTGTGGTCCATGTTGGGATCCATGATGTAGGTGATAAAAGGGCTGAGGCCCTACAGGGAGAATATCAGAAGCTTGGGAAGAAGCTAAAGAGCAGGACCTCAATGGTGGTGATCTCGGGATTACTCCCAATGCCTTATGCAAGTGAATACCAAACCGGGAGGATCAAACACATGAATGCCTGGCTGGAGAAATGCTGCAGGAAGGAGGGCTTCAGGTTTCTAAACCACTGGGATCATTTCTGGGTCAGATGGAATCTGTACACGAGGGATGGGTTACACCTGAGCAGGGCTGGGACCAATGTCATTGCAACAAGGATAACAAATGCTGTGGAGAAGCGTTTAAACTGATTTTGAGGGGGAAATGGGGATCAGAATGTAGCATCAGGGAGGGGAAACGAGTTACATAATAATCCCTCAAAAAAATAATAAATTGGTTGTTTCAATCCACGACTGTTTGTGGGACGCTGCTGTGTGCAATTGGCTGCCGCACTTCGCCCACAAATATACAATCAATTCACTTTACAGTCTATTCTGTGAAGCGCTTTGAGACGTCTAGAAGACGTGAAAAGCACTATATCAAATGCAAGGATTATTATTATTAGAATGGATGAGGAAAGACAAACAGAAACAAGGAATAGTCCAGCAAACAGTGGAAAGAGACGGGGGAGAAACGTAGAGCGGATTAAGCCGGTCTTGGAGTGCATTTGTGTATAAATGCACAGAGCATGACCAATAAGCTTGGTGAGCTGCAAGCTCAAGTTATCACATAGGGTTATGATGCAATTACAAGCAAGGACAGGAATGGAAGCTGAATATTCCTGGCTACAACCTATTCAGGAGGGATAGGGAAGGGAACAAAGGAGGAGGGTTGGCAATACTCATTAGGGTCACGGTCCTGGAAAAGGACGATGTGCTAGAGGGTCCAAAAACTGAATCTATTTGGTTAGAGTTAAGGAACAGAAAAGGAGCTGTTACTCTTTAGGTATTTACTGTAGACCTCCAAATAGTGGGAAGGAGATAGATGAGCAAATATGCAAGCAGATTTCAGAGCAATTCAATAGAGTAGTGATAATGGGGGACTTCAATTATCCTAACATAGTGTAAAGGGCAAGGAAGGGGAGGAATTCCTGAAATGTGTGCTGGAGAATTTTCTGGATCAGCATGTTTCCAGCCCAACGAGGAAGGAAGAGGTGCTGGATTTAGTTCTGGGAAATAAAGTGGGGCAAGTGGAGCAGGTTTCAGTAGGAGAGCATCTGGATAACAGTGATCATAATATCATTAGGTTTAAAATAGTTATGGAAAAAGACAACAATCAATCAAAGGTAAAGACCCTCAACTGGAAGCGGGTTAATTTCAGTGAGCTAAAAAGGGACATGGCCAAGATAGATTGGAAAGAAAGATTGGCAGGTAAGACAGCAAATGAACAATGGGAAGCCTTCAAGGAGGAGATAGTTCGGGCACAGAGGAAATACATTCCCACAAAGGGGAAAGCTAGGACAGTCTAACCTCCCTGGATGACTAAGGAAATTGGGATTAAAATAAAACAGAAAAAGGAGGCTTATGGCAAATATCAGGTCCAAAACACACAGGATAATCAAATAGAATATAAGAAGTACAGAGGAGAAGTGAAAAGGGAAAAAAGAGGGGCGAAGAGATTGTGCAAGAAAAGATTAGCAGGAAACATTAAAGGGTATTTTATAAGCATATCAAGAGTAAAGGTTAGCTAAAGGTAGGGTGGGTCCAATTAGGGACCCAAGTGTAGGCTTTGAGAAGTCCTCCCGACATGAAAGGAACTATATCAAGTGGAAATCTTCTTGTTGAGGCAGGGGGCATAGCTGATGTACTAAATAAGTACTTTGCAACTGTCTTCACAAAAGAAGACGATGCAACCAATGCAAGCATGTGAACAGAAATTGGATATGATAAAAATCAACAGAGAGGAGGTACTAAAAAGGCTGTCAGTGCTCAACACAGATAAGTCACCTGGTCCGGATGGGATGCATCCTGGATTACTGAGGGAAGCAAGGGTGGAAATAGTGGAGGCTCTGGCCACAATCTTTCAATCCTCTTTGGACACTGGAGTGGTGCCAGAGGACTGGAGGGTTGCAAATGTTACTCCCCTGTACAAAAAGGGGCAGAAGGATAAACCTGAGAACTACAGGCCAATCAGCCTAACATCAGTAGTAGGGAAACTTCTGGAGACTATAATCCAGGACAATATAAATTCTCATTTAGAAAAATATGGTTTAATAAAGGTCAACACGGATTTGTTAAAGGCAGATCATGTCTGACAAACCTAATAGAATTTTTTGATGAAGTGACTGAGAGGGTGGGTGAAGGTAGTGCAGTAGACATAGTTTATCTAGATTTTCGAAAGGCATTTGACAAAGTGCCACATAAGAGACTTATAAACAAAATAGTACCCGATGGTATTAAAGGCACTGTGGCAACATGGATCCAGAACTGGCTAGGAGGCAGAAAGCAGAGAGTGGTAGTAAACAGTTACTTTTCTGACTGGAGGGAGGTGTGTAGTGGTGTCCCTCAGGGGTCGGTATTGGGGCCACTGCTCTTTCTGATCTATATTAATGATCTGGACATGCATATAGAGAGCAAAATTTCAAAATTTGCAGACGATACTAAGCTAGGAAAAGTAGTTAATGGTAAGGAGGATAACACCAGACTCCAAGAAGACTTAAGACAGATTGGTAAAATGGGCAGAAATGTGGCAGCTGAGGTTTAATGTGGGGAAATGTTAAGTGTTGCATTTTGGTAGGAAGAATGAGGAGAGGCAGTATAAGCTGATGGTACAATCGTAAAGGGGGCAAATGAACAAAAAGATCTGGGGGTCCACAGAAGCAAATCTCTGAAGGTGGCAGGACAGGTAGATAAAGCTGTTTTTTTAAAAAAGCATACGGGATACTAGGTTTTATAAATAGGAGCATAGAATTCAAAAGTCAGGAAGTAATGTTGAATATTTATAAAATGCTGGTTAGGCCTCAGTTGGAGTACTGTGTTAGGTCTGGGCATTGCATTTTAGGAAAGATGTTAGGGTATTGGACAGGGTGCAAAGGAGGTTTACCAGGATGGTACCAGGAATGAAGGACCTTAGTTATGAGGAAAGGATAGTGAAACTAGGATTATTCTCCCTAGAGCAGAGGAGATTAAGAGGGGATTTAATAGAGGTTTTCAAGATCATGAGAGGACATGATAGGCTGAACCGGGAAAAACTGTTTCCGCTGGCATATGGGTCAGGTGACCGTAAACACGGTCGAAGAGGAAGGTCTTCAGGTGCGACCTGAAGATGGGGAAGGAGCAAGCAAGGCGGAGGGCTAGAGAAAGAGTGTTCCACGGTTTTGGGGCGTAGCAGTTGAAAGTGCAGCCACCAATGGTGAAACTGAGGGCACGAGGGACATGCAGGTTGACTGTAACCAGTTGAGAGGAGGCAGTAGGTAGTGAGTCGGGATTAAGCATGTTGGAGAGGTAGGGAGATGCCAGGGCGTAAAGTACTCACAGTCTCCGCGAAAACCGACAGTTTACCCTCGGTGTACTGGTTAAACTCCTTCTCGTCTGCCGCCATCCCAAACCACATCCGCACACGGAGTTGAGCGGGAAGCTTCCCCAGCCTAGTGTCACTCCGTGGGTACTGCAAGAGAAGGCAACCTCTAACCTCTGCTCCACTCACACAGGACAGTAACACTGCAATCTTACTTAGTAGTGGTTAAAGTACTCGCAAATGAGAGAACCCAGGTTCGATTCCCGAGCAGGGAGAAACCTTAGGTAAGTTCCTTACTCCATACACCTGTTTACCTAGCAGTAAGGAGGAACCTGGTTGTTTAGTCAATTGGCGGATCTCTTTTCTGAGGGTAATAACGCCTTCAAAAAAAAATTGGTCACATGATAACATCTTTAATATCGAAACATAAATAATAATCCTCGTATTGTTACAACACATCAGCATCTCCAAGCCCTTCAC